CCGGTCTCAGCAAGGCCAGTCGGGGCCGCGCGGTACCGACTCGCATCGAACTCGCGCCGACCGGCGTGTGGGACGGTGACATTTCCGCTGCCCATTCGCGCGCAAAGATCAAGGAGCGCGTGACCGTGCGCCGCACCCGCGCAGCCCTCGCCGCTGCCGATCTGGAGGAAGTCGACGACTATCCGCCCTCGCCCCCGCCCCCGCCCCAACTCGCCATGTTGGACACTGCAAAGGCGCAGGAGGTCATGCCACCCGTCCAGGTCGTGTCGCCGCGTTCCTATGTGTGCCCGGTCGACTCGTGCAACAAGGCGTTCAAGCGCCGTGAGCACCTCAGGTACGCATCATGCTTCGAAACTGTCGTGTGGGTGTCCGGAGAACACTAACTTCGGAAAACCCTGGCTCAGGCGTCATCTCCGGTCCATTCACACCAATGAGAAGCCACATGCGTGTCCTCACGCCGGATGCACGAAGCGCTTCAGTCGCACCGACAACCTTTGGCAGGTACGCAATCTCCCCTTCTCACGCCGAGTTTGCGTCAGCTGATCATGACTTGCTTCTCTCCGCGCGGGCATCATTGTTGTTCCTTTGCACTCGCGCCCAAACTACCATGTGGCTCTTTTCGGTGCCTCTGCAACCGTTATATCCGCATTCGACAGCATGTCAAAACTCATGAGGCTGGTGGCGCTTGTGAGTCACCGAAGCTGGTACCTGAAGGGTTTTTTCCACTAACTGACGTCACCTCGTCTCCGCAGCCGACCTTACGTCTGAATGGACTCGATATGGACATCTCGGTAGGAGGTTCCGCGGCCTGGGCGGATGTCACCTCGAGAAGCGGCGGGATGGCGATGCCCGGAGGTCCTTCGCTGTTCAAAACTGGCGACCTCTCCGGCTTTGGCGGCCCAGTGCAGCCGCAATACGACTTCTCGTCGGTGCGCCGGTCGTTTGATCAACACCCGCACTTTGTGCAAAACCACAACCTGCCGCCTCTGCCGACCTCGGAACATTCTCACATGTGGGACTCTGCTCCGTCTTTCACGTCCGGTTTCCCAAGACCTCCGATGAACGGTGCTCCTTTCGGTAATATCGACCTCGACGTCAAGCCATTCGCGCACTTGCACCACGACCGTCTTTAAATCTTTCTTTCTTGCAACTAGGCCCGCCCGGTGGCCCAACGATATTCTATGTGCTTCAAGTTCAGGAACTTCTTGCTTTCCATTCCTTTTTCATCTACGCGTCGTCGCAGCAGGGACCTGCGCGCTACAATCCTCCTTCCGCTGCTACGCAGCGACCAACCGAAGCCTACGCAATCAGTCGTACGGCGCGTCTTTTGTTGTTCAGTGTTCAACTTCCTCCTCAACCCTCCTCCTCTTCCACCTATTTATCCCATCTTTGGTTATGGGCGTCCTGGACCTTGCCTTTTTTCCCTCCCTTTTCATTTCTCGACGGACGCTCTTCTTCCTTTGGACTTGAATCTTCCTTTTGGAAATCCGTGCCTCCCGTTCCCTGGTCTGTCTGTGTGCCCTGTTTTGGATCCCTGAAGTTTTCGGCGATCTGTACCCGCTGGCTATTTGCTACTCTGCTTTCCAAGCTGTGTTTGTATTCTGTAGAGTTGTAACCTTCCCGTGTAACTGCTGCTGCGTCGTGTTGTCGTTGATGCCCTCTTTGGCACTTACTTATTAACTTCCAAACCCCTTCGACCTCCCCCCCCCGCCCCGCGCGCGCGCAGACACATACACTCTGTCGCCGCCTCCCTTGCATCGTGTTATCACGAAATGCCTTCACGCTCTCTCTCTCTCTATCATCTATCGTCCTTTCCCGCTTTTCCCTGCTGTCTCAACATCGCGGACGTTTCCCATAAATCTTAGCTGTAGGCGGTCGATCCCTGTACTGTACGATGAGCGTTTTTGTGTTTTGGAACTGGAACGGTAGAATTGGAGATCACACGACGGTATTTTTTCGGGCAACCTGTCTCGTTCCGCAATGCATGCAAAACTGAAGGCAACTGTCAACAGCGCGGGAGAACATATCACCCGAAGAAGAAGCTGGAGCAGGGCTTCTTCTCGTTTCAATTCAGGGCATCCCAGGTCTCGCCCAGGTCCGCAGTTTTGCTCATGCACATCCGAGGTGGACGGGCGAAGTCTCGGGACATCGCCCGTCATATTGCAATGTGACGTTGCTTGTGTCTGCACCACTGTGTTTGGGGTGTCAGTCGATGGCGCCGTGGGAACGCTGAGCCATTTAGCGGGTCAGGACCGATTTGGTGGGCTTCCGGCAGGATTCGCAGTGTTACTGGAACGAGCATGTGGAGACCCATGTTACTTGTACCTAAGGCCCGCCAGGTCGCGGCGGGGCTCACCAGAAATACTCTGAAACGGATTGCTTGATCCTTGCAACCATCCTAGATGATCGCGACGTCACGGATCGGCTGATCTTCATTGCGGATCCTCCGCCTTGCTTAATATCAGGGAGGATATAGGGGGTCAAGGCCACCCAAAAACAAGCGGTCGAAGTCGCGGATGCCGTATGGAAAAAACAACAACACAGCTCCCTTCCTCTCGTGGCAATCAAACGCCGGTCTGGGAAGCGAATGATCTGTCAGCTTGAGAGACCGGTCAAATCGCGAACAGGACGCGGTATCCGGACGGTGTTCGGTCTTTGCTGCACAAATTTTGTTTGATTGCCAATTCACTGCTGCGCCGGCGGTGATGGATTTGCATATTCAGTCCCAAAGAGCGCGGCGGTGATCCTAGTCTTGCCTCTTGAGTTCTGCACGCGCTACGCCGCTGAGGTCCTCGAAGTAGGCGAGTATCCGCGGCAAAGCAAGAACTATTACACAAATAAGAGCAATGCCTGCAGCCAGTGCCGGCAGAACAGTGGGAGGAATGATGCCAAGAACGAGACTTTCGAACGCGAAATGGAACGACACCGTCGCCGGTTCCACAAAGGTCGTTCCCGGCGTAAGGACGCCGACCCATCTACAAGCGATACGCACATAAGACAAGGCGGTATTGCGAGAGTCCTTGCGGGCCGTTTCAGAGACAGTGACTCCAAGGTGATGAGCGAGTTCATCGTGCGCAAACGTGCGCATATTGTACTGGACAGAATCCTGATGAACATGGTGAGAATCCAAACAAGTGCCAAGCATTGATGTGGCAGCGCACAGTAGCCGGGTAAGAGATGCGCAATGTGTGCATTCCCGGATTGGTGTCAAGAACAAACCAATGTTCATGAGGGCATAATTGTGTCGTTATATTGCAAGCTAGCCAACCGGGCTGATGATCACGAGGTGCGGGAGTAATTTCCAAGATCTCTTTCACATTTGGTGAGAGTTGTCGCCTTACGCAACTGCATTCAGCATCTTGCTGACGTCGCAGACCAGCGTTTGCGCACCATAGGGCTATCAGGGGTGGCAATTCGATGTGTGGAGTGCGCTTAGATGAAAAGTTCACGATTTCGGTATCTGCGCTGACGAGAGTCAACCCAAAGCATATTGCGGCGGCGGCGAAACTGAACATGAGTTGGGACGAGACGCGCTTCGGGAAATACCGTGTTTCGCGCCGCTCGCTCCTCCCTTTTACTTACCACGCCATGGATTTTTCGCAGTACTCGCCGGCCGAGCAAGCCCAGCTCCAGCGCGTGTTTGAGAAGAAACAGGCGCGTGCATAGGCAACTTCTTCGACTGAGGTGTTGACGGTGTTTTTTGAGCAGATGACCGACTTCATCAAAATGTACTCTGGCATCGTCGAAAAGTGTTTCACTTCATGCTGTAACGACTTCACGAGCAAGTCCTTGACCTCAAAGGAGGTCCGTCTTCCCTGAGACGCGTTGCATGTCCCAGAACTGACTTTCAACTTGCAGGACGCGTGCATTGCGAACTGCGCCGATAAGCTGCTCAAGCATGCAGAGCGGGTTGGCTCACGCTTTGCTGAACAGAACGCTGGTGCGCACCGCGTTATCACTGTTTATACCAGTACCCCTCATGTTTTCCACAGAGGCCATGAAGGATGCACAAAGATAGATGGCTTGAGGTTTATGTCATATGCACGTCTGCAATACTGGTCATACAATACAGGTCACTCGATTGTCAGCTCTCACGAGTGTGCTCGTGCGACGGATCTACCTGCAGCTGGTCGGTCTCAGCTCGTGGAGTGCGTACTCAAGTTTGAAGTGTGCGGCAGTTGTCGTCTGCGACAGTCTTAGGTGGAACTATTCAGGTCAGCCCTCGTTGACTAGCGGCTCAGAGGCACACATCGACAAATCAAGTGACTAGCACAGCTACGGCTGCCTGCGCGACATTGATAGACGAGCATTGACGCGTACGGTGCGGTGCCCCGCAACCACGATATGATTGAAATTCACTATCAGCGGTGTCAAGTTCTCGCACTCAACATCGTCTGGTGCGCCTGCCGAAAGAGAGCTTTGCTGCGTGCGATTCATCGGCTTGCGTTGGTAAGAAACGCCAGCCTCATTTGGGATGTTCGTGACGCTTGTGCGCGAGATGGGCCCTGTTCGAACACTCTACAGGGTTCTGTCAATACATTCTTACAGGTGACGATGTGGTGTCTAGTGGCCGCCTCCTCGATGAGAAGTCGTCGAAGGTTTCCGGGACGATAAATTACTACATAGTTTGATCTTTTCACTGTCGTTGCTGCCTTTGTACGCTACCTCACACCTCAGCGACAGGCTAAATAAATAAAAAGGAAGAGTTTTTCATCGATATAGGGGTGGGCGTCGATGTAAAATAAAGCATTCACAAGCCTTCGTCGCGCACTATACAAAAACTGGATGCAGAACACCGGCTGCCAGGAACATAAAAAACACAGGAACAGACCAGGATCGAACTGATGACAACACGATTTATGAAGCAAATCTGCAATCGCGTGCGCTACCACTGCGCCACTGCTCCTTTCAATGTAAAGTTCAATGTGACAATATCGAGTTGCAAAAATTAGCGTATATTGTAGGCCCAGCTCCTCATGGTTGTTCGTCCAACAGGCGGTGGTCAAGAGTGGCGCAAGGGTAGCGCACGTGATTGCAGATTTGCTTCATAAATCGTGTTGTCATCAGTTCGATCCTGGTCTGTTCCTGTGTTTTTTATGTTCCTGGCAGCCGGTGTTCTGCATCCAGTTTTTGTATAGTGCGCGACGAAGGCTTGTGAATGCTTTATTTTACATCGACGCCCACCCCTATATCGATGAAAAACTCTTCTTTTTTTATTTATTTAGCCTGTCGCTGAGGTGTGAGGTAGCGTACAAAGGCAGAAACGACAGTGAGCAGATCAAACTAAGTAGTAAGATCAAGAGACAGCGGGTTGCGGTTCAGGGACGCTTAAGGGGGACGCTTATAGCAGACGAGATCGTACAGTTGGAGCACCAGTCGATGGTCGAGAAGGCACAGGGAGAAGGCGATGTACAGGACCGGCAGACAACAGAGTTTGATGACGTGAGAGATGTGAGGCGAGATAACCGAGACGAGATGGCTACAGCACAAAGGTCGAGACCGTGAGACGAGTGCACGAGGGAGGGTACAACAAAGCTGGCCGTAATGTTCGAGGTATGCAGACCCCATGAATGGGCGAAGAGGGATAGGAACGAATAGAGGTCTGACGAGGATGGGTTTAAAAGGTGAAACAAAGAGCTCATTTGACGATGAAAAACCAAGGCAAAATGCGGGATTTCCGCAGGGAGGCCACGCGAAAAAAAAAAACGAAGTTATTGAGGTGTGAGTGGCCGGTTTCAGGTCGGAGTGGTCGGTCGTTCAGGGCATGCTACGGAGTGCGTCCATCGCCTTCGACAGCCCGTTTTGCCTCCCGCTGACGGCTGCCCATCGGTCGTTGATGACGTGGATACCGCTGTCTACATGCGAGCGCGTGGGTCGGCCATAGTCGATTGGCGAAATGAGGTCCTCGCCGCTCACAGGGGAAACTAAATCGTCGTCGTTCATGTCCGTGTCATCAATCCCCATGCCGTCCAGGTTGCCAAAGCTGGGTCCCTGAGTTGCGTGGAAACTACGGGGACGACGTGGCGATTTGGGTGACCGCATCTCGATGCCCGACGTGGGTTCGGTCGTGGCTATGGATGTGCTGTTTGGCTTCAACGCTGTTCGCCTGACGCTGAGGATGAGACGTGTCCCGCCGATACTGCCCGACACTTGCGTGAACCTGCAGATTAAGAGATGTTCAGCTGGCAGCACAATGGGTACACACTGTGCGGGCCAATGATAGCCGCGCCAGGGCCACGCGGATGGAATGAATATGGGGTGGGACCGTGCGATACCAATATCGAGCACCAACCGAAATGAAGAAATCAGACTCACGAGATGAGAGAGTTCCCAGGCGAGACCGGGTAGAAGAACCAGACAAGTGTTACCCATATCAACGTCCCGGCAATGCTGCACAAGGCGTCAGTCAATCAGATGCCGCGATCGGGACAAAGGAAAGTGAGGCCGCGGGCCATCCCGATCATCGGGAGGAATGGGGGTCTCGATCTGCGGAAGACTCACAGGAGGAAATAGAAGATGTTGTCTCGCACAAGGAGACTCATGAGATTTGTGCGCTTCCCAAGGGCCAGGCGAGCTCGGTTGGTCTGGAAGGTCTTGTTGATTGCCAGAATGGCGAGGTACGACTCGTAGGCGAGGGCTGAATTAGGCGTGGTGAGCAACCAAATATTTGTGAAGAAGTGTGTTTAGGCGTACGAGCGAGGAGAACGACCGCGATTTCGCGCGGTGAAAGGCTAAAACAGGAACCATACACGAAGGGAGAATTCGGAAGAGCTGCGCGCATGAGTCAGACGTCGATAAAATATAGGCAGTCAAAGCAGGCGGACGTACGAACTGTCTTTGTGAACTCGATGATGACGAGTGCTACAGCTATCGCCACTTCCACGATGCAAAGGAAGATGTTGGCCAACAGGACCTTGCGACTTTTCTGGTACATCACGTAGAGCCTGAAAATTAAACAAGGGATGAGCGGGAAACATAAAAAGAGTAAGCGAAGACCGACCGGAATTGCATGATCACTGGAAAGCAGACGGTTGTGAGCGGGTGTGGCAAGCAAGCAATCTCGGAACGCACCCTGCACGACGATGAGGGCCACAAATGTGCAGGCCGCTTCCACCCATTGGAAGATGTCGCAGACCTTGGGGTCGACGTCGGGAAATAGTGATGTTGCGGCCGAGGATGTGACGGCGAGTAGTGGCACGTAGCGCGCCAGGAAGAAGAGGAACGTGAACATGGACCATCTCCTTCTCCAGATGTAGTTGATTTCATCGCCCATCGTCAATACGATATCATAAAGCAGCCAGGAGACCGCTGCACCTACACGCGCGCAAGGATGTGGTTAGGGAAAACGCTCGCAAAGACCGGAAGCAATGAGCTTGCGCATACATTTGCAGTATCCAAGAGCCGTGACCTGCTTGTCCGTCATCGCAGTAGAATGTCAAGCCTTCGCGGAATGTGCGAAGCGCGATGACGGCGCGAGAGTGTCGGGGAGCGGAGAGGTAGGTGAGAAGAAGGGAGAGGGCAAGAGGTACCGCGACGAAGCACAAGGATCGCATATTGCTTAATGTGCCCTCGGTGGCTTAACCCCGGCAGGGCTTCCATCGGCGCTGCCGCAAGTTGACAGCTGGGTTTGGGGCAAACACGGGAATGAAGTAGCCGTGCCACCACGGGGCAAGACTGGACGCCGACGCGGTGCTGGCGAAGATCCGAAGGGACATCGAGATTCGCGGATACAGAATGACGAGTGACCTCAACTGCGTACAACACCGGGTTCACTTGTGGGGTGCAAAGGTAGCACTTCTACACGATCGTGCTGCAAGAGCTGTTGTAACTACCTCGTAGGCACACATGGTGCCGAGTGCCGAAGAATTTCATTCGAGCGTACCCGGAGAACGGCCGTGGACAGAGTGAGCACGGGCAGGACCCAGGATAAGCTGGGCTGCGCCACCATGGGCAAACACCGTAATCGGCGGGGGCACAGCGACGATTTTTGTTGCGCAGCCTTTGCGGCGTCGGGAAAAGGACCAGACGGCAGTCGGTTATTGCCGTTGAAGGGTTGAAGCTCTCCAACGACTTGGATCTCGTCACATTTCTGAAGGAGTGGAATGCAAGCTTTTTAGTCCTTTTCCGATGGGTAACAAAGTGGCGCCGACCAGCGGCCTATCAATGTCATACCCCTAGACTAAGTGCTTTACGGTGACCGGCGCGAAAAACACAACTCAAGACCTGACACTCTTAACCGGTTGGGTTGCCAGCAACGCGCCTGTCCGACGTTGACTTTGCGCGTTACGGACATTTGGCCCGAAGTTGTGAACTATGGTTCAGATGACCTGCATCCGTGAGGGGCATAGGGGCCGGGCCTTCGGGCCGACTATGAGCCGTAGACTTGTTTATGAACCTCACTTGAACCTCGAACTGCACTTGGCCTTTGACCACCGTGTCTGATACATTCACCGTATGCCTCATCCCAAAGTTCTCATCTGCGGTAAGCCTGAACGCGAGTTTGCTTCGTCAATGTTGATGTATTCGTCACTCACAGGCGAGATCATCTGGGCAAACGATGAGGTCAAGTCCATGATTGGACCTCACGCCGACATCGTCGTACGAACGCCCATTTCAGCAGCAGCAGCGGAACTAAGCTCACGTTCATGTTGCGCAGATTATGGACTCGCAATCGCGAGATGACTTTTTGAAGCGCCTGAGCACCGATTACGCTGGCATTGTGGGCATATATCGTCACAACTCGAGCGCCGACTTCATCGGCATCTTTGATGCTGCCCTTATCAAGGCGCTCCCCGACTCGGTCAAGTGGATCGCGCACAACGGCGCTGGCTATGACCAAATCGACGTTCATGCCGCCAAAGCAAAGGGTAAAGTTCATCATCACTGCCACTCCCCCGCGGGCATGCATAATCTGATCAACATCCTTCTCAGGCATCCGTGTCTCCAACACTCCCGGAGCTGTGGATGACGCCACAGCCACGACCGCACTATACCTGCTTCTCTCGTGCGTCCGTCAATACAGCGTCGCCGAGCGTAACGTCCGTTCGGGCAAGTGGAAGGCTGGCCTCGTTCCCGCGCGCGACCCCTCTTTGCTCACGCTGGGCATCTTCGGCATGGGTGGCATTGGCTTCCGCCTCGCCGAGCTCGCACGCGGGTTCCCCATGCGCGTGCTCTACCACTCGCGCAACCCGAAGCCGAACCTGCCGGCCTGGTGTGAGTACTACCCCAAGGAGCGCCTGAACGAGTTCCTCGCGGAGACGGACGTGCTCAGCGTACATGCGCCGCTGAAGAAGGAGACGGAGGGGCTCGTCGGCGAGAACGAGTTCCGCGGTCTGAAGAAGGGTTCGTTTGTCGTCAACACGGCGCGTGGCAAGGTCATCGACGAGGCTGCCCTCATTCGTGCCATCAAGGACGGGCATGTGAGTTCGGTTCCCGTGTCTCTCTGTCTGTCTGTCATCGCATCCGGCTGACATGAGTATAGCTTGGCGGCGCGGGTCTGGATGTGTTCCCCGATGAGCCCAATGTGAACCCAGAGCTGTTCGACCTGCCCACAGTCACCCTTCTGCCGCACATGGGCACTGAGACCAAGGACTCGCAGAAGAAGATGGAGGTACGCGCTCTCCAGAACCTCGTCGACTACTTCACCTCTGGGGCCGGCAACGATCTCGTACCAGAGCACAAGGCGTAAGTCTGCAAACACAAGTCTTCATACGGAGACATAGTTGTATATCGGTTGTTCCACAGTAATCGACCAATAGGAGCGAAGCTCTGAATCTTTTTTTTTTTCTGGTCTATCGACAACGCCAGAGCATGCATTCACAACAGAACGTACATTGCGTGTAGAACCGCGTGTACATGTCGGGTATTATGGTTTTTTTTAACATAGGCACTTGCAGGTGATCCGTTGAGTGATAAGTGATAAAGATCAATACTGGAGCGTCATGAGTTAATAGCTTAGGTGGACAAGTGCGGAGAGCTTGATGCAAGGACGAGACATGCAGAAAGGAAAGGAGGTGGTTATGCATGGAGTCAGGAGCAATGGGCAGACATAGACAGATTGTGAGAGAGTGTGTCTGTGTGCGTGTGT